CTTCTCTTCTTCTCTGCTCAGCTCTACCCTCCTGGGTGGGGCAGGGAACCTGGAACTTCCCCTTTTCCTAGGGACCACCCTGTTAAACAACCTTAGTAAAAGTGCATTGCAGGAAGTTTCTAGAATGATTCCTGCCCAATGCTTTTGGATGTGTAAACTAGAAAGCAAGACCAAGGCCCTGTGATGAGGGATTTGTGCTCAGCTCTGTAGGCATCCAGAGTATTATGGGATTATCTGATATAGCACAAAAGATGCACCATGTCACTCACTGGCATGCCCTCAGAAATCATGGTCTCCCAATGGTTTGGAAGAAAACTTTCAAAGGGTGACCGTACATTGTTTCATTCATGTTTAGGTTTTATATCTCTACTGCATGTTTTCTCTCATCCTGAACAACATTTGGACAAGGTAGTGGTACTACCAGAGAATTAGGGAAGTCTCTCTGGCACAGACACAAACAAACCAACTTCTGACTGCACAGAGCCAGCTGGAGAAGCCAGCCCTGCTCTTACACGTGTCTGTGGTCACATTTACTCTTTTCAAGCTCTCAGAGCCACGCTTATTGGGCCTAATATACTCCCACTCTCTCATTCCTTGAGGTTAATACTAAGGAAAATTGAAGGCCACAGAGTGCTGTGTCAGGAGCACTATGTCTCCCAGTTCCAGCATCAACACCCTTCCGGACCAGTGCCCTGTGTTCTCATGTGGTTTAATTAAATTAAACCATGCCAAAGTTTTTTAATCTTAAAAATTTAATATTACATTTTAATTTAAAATTAAATTAAAAAAATTTAGGGGTGGGAATATTTGAGAGAGGAGATGCAGGGGCTTCCCTGGTGGCCTAGGGATTAAGTCTCAGTGCTATCACTGCTGCAGCCTGAATTTGACCCCCCAGCCAGGAAGCTGACCCACATATGGCTCAGACTTCTCCTGTCTTGCCTGCTTCTCTCCTTAGCAGTGTATTTCAGTAAATCCACCTGTCTTCTCCCTACTCTGTCTCTGGTGAATCCTCTCACCCTTCTCCACACTCCACCTCACGCCTTCCATACATCTGGCCTATATACCCCAAATGTAGCAAAAAAAAAATTTTTTTTTAAGATTTATTTATTTATGCATACAGACCTGAGGTACAGACCAGAGATGCAGGGGTGGTGAGAGGCTTCACCAGAGACAGAGTGGGGAGGAGAACAGGCAGATTGACAAAGTACACTATTGAGGGGAGCAGCAGGAGGGTCAGGAGAGGTGTGCTGTGCCATGTGGGTCACCTCGTGCTGAAGTAGCTGCAGCTAGCTTTGTAGTGCTGCACTTTAACCCGTTGTGCCACAGGGAGGACCCTAGCAAAAAACTTTTTTAAAAAGAGAGAGGAGATGCACGCAGAGTAAATAGATCTTTGTTCTCTTGAGAACATTTTGCACCAAGAGGCAAAATGAAGAAATTTGGAGCTGCAAAAGCTGGACTATCTGGGGAGTCACATTTTGAATACTTTAGGAGTTGGCAAAACCCGATGTTGTAACAGAACTTTGAACAATTCTGATTTTTTTCTTATTTTTAGAGGAGACAGTCAGAAGATAGGATCCTGCTAAAAATTGTCCAGAGTCTGATCAGATTAGTATCAGATGAGATGGAGCGTGTGGAGGGTGGAATGGCCATAGACCATTCTGAGTAATGTGTCAACCTGTCTGGCTGCTTTTCCATTTCTAGCTCAGCAACTCTTCCCTCCATGATGAAGTGCATTGAAGAAATCAATGGTGTCGACAAAAGGATCAGCAGGTTCATTCTGCCCATCGGGGCCACCGTGAACATGGATGGAGCGGCCATCTTCCAGTGCGTGGCTGCGGTGTTCATCGCTCAGCTCAACAACGTGGAGCTGAACTCAGGGAAGATCTTCACAATTCTGTAAGTCCACTATTCCTTCTTTTAGCTTGAGGGCTGCACTCAAACTCCAGGTTTCTCTTGTGGTTTACTTTGAAACATCTCTTGAAACCCAGTTGGTTTGGTTGAGATAGGATGGCATGAATTCATTGCTTGGAGAGCACAAATCAGCTGGCAGGATCTAGGGTTATGTGGTTTTAGTTAGCCCACCATGGCTGCCATATTTTGCACGTCCGCGTGCCCACTCCATGCTCTGTGTGATGGTTGACTTGCTCTGCCACTCCCTAGAGTGACGGCCACAGCATCCAGTGTTGGAGCAGCTGGAGTGCCCGCTGGAGGGGTCATCACCATCGCCATTATCCTGGAGGCCATTGGGCTGCCCACGCATGACCTCTCTCTGATCTTGGCCGTGGACTGGATTGTGTAAGTAGCAAGCCCTATGGGCACTGAAAAATAGGTCTCTATTGAGTCTCCCAGAAGCCTTGCTAGGTCTGCGGCATGCAGAGAAATGTAAAGTATGTCCCCTGCCCTGTGAAGCCGTCTAGAGTCAAGTTGGAAAGACAAGTTTTAGTGCAAAGAAAATTAAACCTTATCACAGCCAAAGATGTATGAACATACATGAATGACCATAAGCAAGACCTAGACGGGGGTCCCTGGTGCAGGGCCAAGAGCAGGGGTGGAAGGGACTATGGAGGTCGTTGACTTAATGGGACAAAAGCCATTAGAATAGTGAGCCTTCAGGGATGATTTTCCTTAGTTGAAAACATCTAAAAGGTGGTTTCTGCAAAAGGAGAGATGACCCCAGCTAGTGTAGTCATGCCTTGGGCTCAGGCGAACAGCTGGGAAAGAGGCTTCTGGGTGTTGATTCCTTAAGTCACATAACACCTTTCTCAGGTATAAACAGTACTTGCTTTAAAGGGAAATTCAGCCAAGGTATTTTTGGTGGGACAAGAGAGCATAGGGATAAGAAGTCAAGCTGCCTGGGTCCAAATCCTGCCACTCACCAGTAAGTGGCTGTACCTTTATCTGTGCATCTATCCAGTGAGAACAATAACAGAACATAGACCAGAGCTAGAGTAAAGATTAAATCAGTATCACATGTGCAGCACATAAGAGAACCACAGGCACATGGAAAGCATTTAGTCAACACTTGTAAGAAATCACTGCTGACCAGCTAGTCAGAGGCATGAGGTGACCCAGGGACTGGAGCCCAGCATGGCCTTCTGACTCTCCCATTATGACTGGGAACGGTGGTCTCCAACCTTTATTTTTTTTAAGCCTTGGATACTTGAAGGGGCTTCTCAGAATCCTTAAAGCTCTTTAGAAGAATGAGTATAAAATGTGTAACAAGACTTTAGGATGCCCCGACAACTAACTCACTGAGGAAGCTCTGGCCCTAAGTTGGTGAATTGGACAGAACCAAAGCAGAGTGTCAGCCCACTCTCCCTCCTTGCCCAGGGGTCTCCCCGGCATGGAGAATTCTGCATCTAATAAGAGAGGCACAGCCAGCAAGTCACCCTCTCAGCAGAGACCCAAAGTCACATAAGCACCCCTCCCCCATGCCTTTATCTTCTTTTCAGATTATATAACAATTGACTTAATACAGGCCAATTAGAAAGAGAGAAGAACAAACTTAAGTAAATATATGTGGGGAGTCTACAAAGAAATAGATTACAAAGACAATGAAGCAAAATGGGGTTATATATCCCAAGCTAAGTAATGGGTTAGGGGTCTGGGATTTCAAAGGGATAAGAAGGCCCTGATTCCAATGACCTCAGGTAAGCCCCCCTCACCCCAACTTTTCAAAATGAACACAGTGCTTCTGAGCTCAAATGGGCAATGATTTTTGGGCTAATCTATGGGAAGACAAGACTCTGGGAAGAGGAGTGCTACTTTCCTTGAGCTGGTTTTGGCCAACAACCTTAGAAAGCATATGCAAATTGACATTCATTAGCAATGCAGTGTTAGTAGGAGGAAAAGAAGGGTTGTCAGTGGAAGAAAGGAAGGATACAAAACTGAGGCTATATTATCTTTTTTGAAAAAGATTTAATTATTTTGCATGTCTATATTATCTTCTCAGTTTTATGTACTTTTTACATGACAGTGTGTATTACACATAAAATACATGCATTGATGTATTTGACTGGGGGCCTCTCAGGTGACACAAGGGGTTGAGTCTCAGCAATGTGAAGCTACCAGCAGCCACTGCAGCACAAATTCAACCCCTTGCCAAGGAGGGACCCACAGGGCACAGCAGACTGCCCCTGTCTGATCCACCGCTCCCCTCAGCAGTGTATTTCAGTCAATTTGTCTATTCTTCTCCCCACTCTGTCTTTGGTGAATCCTCTTACCACCCCATCCCCACACATCTGGCCTACACCCCAGCTCTTGTATGCATAAATAAATCTTTAAAATAAAGAAAGTCAGTTTAGAGTAAAGTAAAGCCGTGAGACCCCTTGCAGCCCATTTGCTAGGAAACAGCAGGCCAGGGTCACCACTTAGGGTCAGTTCAGCCTGCCCCCACCACTGGACACCCATCTGCAGCTGCCACAGCATCAGGGTAACTTTGCCTAATTTTATATCCCCCCAGGGACCGAACCACCACCGTGGTAAATGTAGAGGGGGATGCCCTGGGGGCCGGCATTCTCCACCACCTGAATCAGAAGGCCATGAAGAAAGGGAAGCAGGAACTGAGCGAGGTGAAGGTGGAGGCAGTTCCCAACAGCAAGTCAGAAGAGGAGACATCCCCACTGGTGACACACCAGAATCCCCCCAGGCCTGGAGCCAGCGTCCCAGAACTGGAATCCAAGGAGTCGATTCTGTGATGGAGTTGGGCTATGGGCTTGCCTGCCAGGGGTGCTACACCCTGTGAGTCCAGCTACCAGAAACCAGGCACAGCCTTACCGACTTTATCCTCCTCCTGAGCAATGCTTTGGCCCAGTCACTGTCTTGAGACTTCCTTTTCAGCATGGACGTTGGGCTTCCCAGAGGGAACTGGCTACCGAGAACCAGGACACTCTGACATTTGGCTTGGCCCATGGTCAGGGTGCATCTGCGTGTGCGCCAGGGCTGTTTGAGAACCCACTGCCAAGGCTCAGGAAATAACAGGTTCACCAGGCTTGGTGGTTAAAGCTTGGGAAGATGCAGATGTGTTCTTCATTGCACCGGTCAGCTCTGCATTATGCTTTCCCAGCCAAACGGGGGGTTTGCAGTTATCTGTCACATTTGCCTCTCGAGCCATAGCAATTGGAGGAATTCCCAAATTCTTAGCCTTAACTGGAATTCATTGAGCCAGAACTCAAGGTATTTAGGTTTATGCTTCAGCAAGGTGTGGCTGGTTCATCAGCCTGGCACAGCACATTGTCAAGTTGGATGTACTCCGGATGGTGTCAGCAATGCTGGCTTCTTGGTCAGTGGCGTTCAGTAAAGATTTAAATGCTGAGGTCAAAGGTAGGAGGGGTGAGTGCAGCCTGTTTGGGGGAGGAGGGAGCACCTAGTTGGGACAGGACACATGACACGCAATTAGTCCCTTTCTCGTCTCCTTGCTGGGGAAGCTTTCTGCTCTCACGACCTAAGCTTCTAGCAACACTGTAGCTTGAACCCCATCCGCACTGACTTGGCAATGGGCCAGAGAGGCTGCCTCCTCCAGGGACGGGGCTGTACTGGGTTGATCAAGGTATCACTTAACTAGACCCTCCCTTAAAAAAAGGTGTCAAAACCAAACACAATTTAAAAATCACATGCTACTCGTGGGGTACCCAGGCCCCCAGCCCCCTGGCTTTGGCTGATTTCCATGAACATGGTTTCCTTTCCTGTAGTAATCAGAGTTTAAAACGATAAGCCAGCAGGCCACCTTCCTCCAGATCCCTGCTGATGCGGTTGGGATCCGAAGTGGACGCGCTGCAGGGAAGCCCACTGTCTCAGTGGCCGGGGCAATCGAGGAGGAGACACATGGACATGGCCACGGATCCGCTTGGCCTTCGGATGTGTCTGTGGGTGACCTGCACGGTCCTGAGGCCTCACTTGACCCCATCTGTAAAATGGGGCTGGTGTCACCTGCCTCTTACCTACCTCAGTGGGATTTGGTAAGGCAGACTGAGTGAATCTGAGAAAAGCCCCGCTTCATGTCTTGACGTGAAGTACTGCTACCACCGTGTTCTTAGCTTTTACCGAAGTGATTCCTTTGTCAGGCAGCCCGTCCCCTGGCAGAGACAGCGTCTGTGCACAGGGCTCGTGTTCACTAGCGACTCCCACGGTGCCACTTGTTCTCTCTCTAGTCATTCAACAGACTCAGTGCGGCCTCTCCCTAAGTAAGGTCCTTTAGGTTTTCATAACTCCCTCGCCTCCCACCACGTTTCCGGATATCTGACTTTCCTGTGGCTCCCTGCCCCTTTCCGCTGCCCCCCACCCCACAGGCCACTGAAGCTCCCAGACTTTGAGACTCGCTCATGCATTTGTTTACCCTGTCTCCAAGCATTTGCTGCCACCTAGAAAAAGAACACCCCATTGCAGTGTGTGTGACCCGTTGAGTGAGAATGGCAGACAGGACAGTGCCAGGCAAGCCCCTCCCATGTACCCTCCGTGTGGAGGGTGTGGGAAGAGCTGCTGGGTCAGGGGGAGGTCGGGCGCTCCCACTGCCCTCTCTAACCCCGCTGTGCCACTCCCACCTCGGGTAAAGCCAGGAGTGTCCTCAGGATCTCAGGAGGGACCTGAGCCAAGGGTCCTGGAGACCTGGTAGAGCACTGGCCCACAGGCTTCAGTTTCAAAGAGGAAACCATCACTGTCTGGCTTCAAAGTGCAAATGAACCTTCACTACTTTTTAGAACTCAGTGTACCTTTCTTTCCACCTATCTACGGTATATATGGATGCTTATATTTGTATATATTTATATACATTGTTTCAGCTCCCGTTCAAGCAGGCTTGCGTCTGGGCAGAGGGGAATTGTCAGCTGTGTGGCTTTGGTGTCCTGATTTTCCTGTGTATAAGGTTGCATTTCACAAAATGTGAAAGCTAGATGAGGGCTGGCCAGGAGGATCCAGGACTGTGCTTCGCCTACGTTGGGACTGGAATACAGTAAGGAGGGTAATCTGGAGAAGGGAGCTTCTCTCCCAAGTCCTCACGATGGATGGGCCCCTGCCCCGGATGGTGAGCAGAGGGAGAGAGGTGCCAGTTTCTCCCTATTGTTCAGTCCCTGGGGAGTGGGACCAGGAGTGATGTGACTGGGAAAACCCCACTTCCTCATTTCTGAAGTCGTCCCCTGCCATTCTCTTCCAAGTGTTGCCATTAATACTGTTCATCTCTCACTGTTTTGTATGTGTAACACTTGCCTTAAAATAGCCTCCTAAAAAAGTGAATACAGTATTTCTACTAGGCTCCTTTGTTCTTTCTTTGTTCTTTCTTAGCTTTGAGGTGGCACTTTCTAATGGAACCATCGCTCTTCTAAGGGAGGCCTGGCGGGGACAAACTCCATTGTTTTCCTGCAGTTTTTGCCACTGCAAAAGGGTGGGCCCTTGGGCCCAGTTGCTGTGGGACCCTCGTGGACGCTTCTGTGGACCAGCTCACTATTGGCTCGTGAATGCATTGCTGCTTCAAGGCTTCTCCCAGTTAACATCAGCAGGGCTCCCGAGTGATTTTGCACTTATCTCCAGAGAGCTAAGTCTTGTTAGAACAACTAAGTGGACACCCACTGTAAGCTGAGAGCCAGGCTGGAAGATCGTCTACCCTGTAGAATTACTGACAGAGTTCCCGCAGAAGGCCGCTGCCCAGGCCTATCCCACCAGCACCACCACCACTAACACACCCAGCTCTTTCTTTTCTATAATCATGTTTTAGAGATACCACATACCAGTGCACTTAAGGAATCTAAGAAGTCTCTTAAAGTAGGATTACCCTACAAGCTCACACTGGAAGTTTTGATTTCTAGCCCCTGGGGCTTCTGATGAAATAGCTCCCCATTCTGACCTGGACATTTTCAGCAATTCTTATCACATGAAAATGGTTTTAATTTCTGGCCAAGGTTCAAAAGGACAAAGAGTTTGCACAGATGAAGGGCCTGATGGAGCCTGTTAATGATGACAACTTAGAGTCTCACCCTGGAATGTGGCTGCCTTGTTTCTGTGGTGAAGAGTGTTTGGAGGTTGAGGTTAGTCCCCATACCAAGAGGAACAATTCGTGAACTGCCTTCTCCTAGGAAAGTGCAACGAGCGGGAACTGCTGGGTCACTGGAGCCTGCTCCAGTTCAGTCGGCCAAGGGGCATAACCCAAGGGTGGGGAGGCTGCACTGGCTGCTCCCTCTCCAGGCGCTGCTGCTTGCTTGCAGGATGAGCCCGGCATGTATGTCATCTTGTCGTCTCAGGCTCCTCATTAAAATGGCGGTAATAATTGCACCAACAGCAGGAGCTGGCGTGTGGCAGGTGCTCCGTCAATATTGGCTCTCAAATCAGACAGCAGGGCAAGGAATGTTCCCAACCCACCTGTTGTGTCCCTTAGCATCTAAACGCAGGGAGTATGCTCTGGTTTTACCTTTATCTCCCTTGGAGAAGAGAATCTGTCCCAAGTCCTGGGCCCCTCTATGATCAGTGCCTTGTAATACCCACTATGCATATTTTGAACATTAGTTCCGCAAATATTTGGAACCAGGCTTTTTCACAATTGTCAGTTAACAGTTGTGCTCTGATGTCCCCTCTTCACAAAGTAGATCTCCACACACGCTCTCCTCACTGCAGCTGCAACCCTCAGCTTTGCAGCTCCAGAGGCTTACACTTCCCAGCAAGAATCCCAGCCTTCCAGGCAGGATTCTTTCTCTTGGTCCAAGTCTGACTGCTTATTCATGCTCAAGGAGGCAAAAGGCAGGCGAGGTATGAGAGGTCTGGTCTGCGCCCAATACGTGGGCCCCTTTACTTGGGGTTTTCATTGATAAGTGAGTACCCAGCAGGAACGAAGATCTAAAGTATTGGAAAGACCTTCCCCTTCAAAGGTAGACCGTCATGGGTCCTCGCTGGCCTTTCAATTTTTGAAGAGTTGGAGCCAAGTATCATGAAATGTCTCAAATCATAATCTCACGCCTGAATTTTTTGTCTTTGATGTGGCTTCTAAAAAAGTGTTGGATTGGATTTCTAGCACACGTAGGATTATTTGGAGCAAGACATAAGACAGATAGATGAGCTGAGGATTCTTAGGGTGATTTAGAACAGATGAAATTTCCCTAAGTCTCAGGATACAACTGTCTCCAACATCTACCTCAGAGATAAACCATACATAAAGCTCAAAAGTGTTCTTTCTTGGGGAAAAAAATTGCAGAGGTGTCCTGAGGACAGTAAAGATTTAGTGACTCTTCACTTTAAAAAAAAAAAAAAAGCTTTTTGAGATATAATCCATATACCACAAAATTCACTCTTTACAAGTGAACAATTCAGTGGTATTTTAAATATATTCAGAGTTATGCAGTCATCACAAATTCTAGATGATTTTCATACCCCCAAAAGAAACCCCTGCCCTTTAACAACCACTAATCCACTTTCTGTCTCTGGTCAGAGATGTTCTCTCTATGAATTTTCCTATTCTGGACTTTCGTTATATAGAGATATAGATATTTCCTTTTGGGGGTATATTCCTATAAAAAGAGTTAACATTCAAAATGTAATCATCGCCCACCTCCCAACTACACATTCTCCACACACACCCCCAAACACCTGATGGAGCCTGTAAGATCCTCTTAATTATCAGATACGGACTCAGTCATTTTAGTCTTTGGGACAAAAAAAGAATTTCTGATTAGTGAGTGAAACAAAACAGTTAACTTACTCGAAGAGCCTCTTCCCCTGACACGTATCACTGATAGAAGCCTATATATTTAGATCACACGTTCAGCTAAAAAGCTGTCTGGACGCAAACAACGGGTTCTGTCACATTTTAGTAACTGCAGCCTGCAGTTCCATCACACTCTGTATAGATGATTCTCCCTGGAATTGTGAGTGCTCTGGCTTTACGTGGTACATGATGATCCTGTACTTGAGGTGAGTTTTTATGAAAAGATTTTATTAATAAAACTTGAAGGGAAAAAAAAACTCCCCACCCTAAAAAGCACTTGAATAGGTCTACCCTGCAAATTTTGTTTTTAATAATATAATAGCTTATTTTTACATCATTTTGTAACTTTTTCCATCCCAGCTGTTATCCCCATGGACTTCCCACCATCAAATCACCCATGTGCCATCACCATAGTCCAGTGCATTTCCCTCCCCTCACTGTTTTTGATCCCATCCCGCACTCCACCCCCATAAAATGTCTCTGGTATGTAACTGTTCATTATTATTATTTTCTCACCTGGTTCTTTATACTTCTGCTATGAGTGAAACCATCTGGGATTTTTCCTTTTCTTTTCTGGCTTATTGCACTAAGCATGATCTTTTCCAGCTCCATCCATGTTGCTGCAAAGGCATGTGTTTATTTTTTTATACTCTAAATTTTTTTGATCTTTTTACTCTGTTGGCTAATGAGTCTCAGAAGCAATAGAGGTAAAGTCCTTAAACAGCTTCCCTGGGCAGGTTGCTTGTCCTGGTGTCTGCGTGCCTCTCAGGCGTCTGGGTCTGCCACCAGGCACTCTGTATCTTCTAAGTACTTTTTATCTCTCTGGTTCAAACAGCACCCTGGGCAGGAGGCATAGACAGCCCACAGGCTTGCCTTGCCTCTAGCCAGGCCCTTATAAGAGAACAATCTCAAGACAGAAAAGTCCCACAATGGTGAGTGTGGCCACTACCCTCAGGCTTTCAGAAACTGGCAGCAAGCAGGACTGAGAGAGGTCAGACACCAGAGAATGCACTGCTGTGCTCCACTCATACCAGCAAGAGGGACCTACAGGGTGGGAAGTCAGTTTAGTGGTGTTCTTCAAGTAGACAAAAGATGTGACGGGGGGTGGGGGCCGATTGAGGGAGGCAAACAGAGACTTTAAAAATGCTGACAATGTTCTATTTCTTGATTTGCCTTGCGATAGTTCATTAAGTTGTCCGTGTATATTTTATCGTCTTTTATTGAGTAATAGTTCCTTAAGGGGAGGAAAATAGTAAGGGTACAGTTTGCAGGACCTGGTAGATGACCTCTTTGTAGCAGTGACCAGTGACTTTGGATGACTGTCTTTTCTTGGCAGCCCCAGGGCCCATCAGGAATTCTCTCAGCTGACAGCCTCTTGGTGGTAGAAAGCAGGGGTCAGCCAATTACAGTGCACAAGCCAAATCCAGCCTGATGTTGTCCTGGTGTGCTCCCCGGGCCCCCCTGGGCCCTCTCTAGCAGACTAGCACTAGGAACCAACCAAGTGCTGGTGTCCCCCTCTGCCTTGTCAGAGCCAGCTGACTCATCAAACTCAGTAAATTCTATCCTCAGAGCCCATAATATTTTTAGAGACCCTCCACCATATTTTAAAATCAGAAGAAAAGAATATAATCTAGCCTGGATTATATTTGTCTCAATACCAACCCAAGTTATAAACTACAATCTTCACAATGCCTTTATGGAGGAAGGGCCCATAAAAACAAAGGTGACAAAGCAAATGGCCCATGAAAGCCACATGGTGTCCTGGCCCTGGTCCCCACTCTGCCAACCAGTACCAGCTTTCCTGCTGGGTGGCCACATCTAGCCCCAGCCCAGGAGCCCGCTGGTTATGTTGGGGCTTCACTGTTAGCAAGGGCCAGGGGCTAAGAGTGAAACTCCAGTGAGGGAGCCAGCCACCTGGCCAGTTGTCTCCCCTCCTGTATAGCCAGTTGATGAGAAGTACAGGCAACAACCTGGATTTGTGATTGGCTCCTGAAACGGGGCGCCTGTGATCAGTCCATAATCTGTGGGACTGGATGACATGTCAGGGTAGAGTCAGAGCTGACTTGAATGGCAGGACAGCTAGCTCGTGTCGGAGAGCTGCTTGGTGGTGTAAGAGGCGCCTCCCTCCCCCCTGCATATACGCAGTGGGATGGTGCTAGAATAGCAGCCACTCTTCCTTTTTTAGCACAGGCGCCTTCTCTCACAGTCCATTCAGTGCCATTTACATGAAGCATCTGTAGGGAACTTTCAGATCCTGTATTGACTTCCTGCCACCTGCCTTTTTGTAAAATGAAAGCATATTACATGTGGTATTGTTCTATGCCAAGCTGATAGTGTTCTTCACATACACAGTCACAGCGCTGGAGAAGTTATAGATTTCATTCTTTTTCTTTAAAGGTCTATTTATTTATTCCTACAGATCTCAGGTGCAGGCCAGAGGTACAGGGGAAGTGAGAGGATTCACCAGTGACAGAGTGGGGAGCAGAACAGGCCTGCTGATGAAGTACTCTGCTGAGGGGAGTAGCAGGCGGGTCAGGAGAGATCTGCCACAC